TGCTGTTTGAAGATGGGGACGATAGTACTTGTCCTCCAGGCATCCGGCATCTTTCCTTCCACTGTTACCTTGTTCAGGAAGCTGGTGAGCCACCTTATGCCGTACTCTCCGAGCGCCTTCCATGCCTCGATTGGCACCCCATCTGGACCAACCGCCTTTCCAACCTTCATCCTCCCAAGTGCACACCTAACCTCATCCTCAGTCCAGAGTGCGATGGGACCAGCTGTGGCCTCTGCCCGTGAGTCGTTCTTATGGGGGAACTCCTCGCTGCGGGAGATTATGGTTCAGATATAACCCTTAATCCGTGCGGACTCATGCATTGCTCCGCGTGATGATCCTTCCATCGACAAATTTCCCAAAAACGCACACCTGAGGGAGGTTTTTTTCGAAAAGAGCTTTGAAGTAGAAATATGACGCATATAAACACAATTCTGAATACACAAACTTCCAATAAGAAGGAGCAACAATTTATTGCCCCTATTTCTTTGAAAACCTTACTTTGTCTATCCTGCAAAGTCATTTTTCCAGTTCCATTTTTCACTTCCACCACATGTTTTTCTGCTGCATTTCATTTCGTCTAACTTAACTTGGAAATTGAAGGACAAATTCACGATTAGAATGAAGGTCGAAGAAGGAGTAATTCACCTAGTTGAGGGACCCGCGGACCTCCTAAGGGTGCGGACTGAAGCGCAATTGGCACCGAAGGAGTTGACCTCGGCGACCTATTAAGGCTCAATCTTGGCGCGGTGGGCCAGTGCACGCCCACCGATCATCTGATCACTCGCCGCAGGTCTATACGTGGCGAGTGATTAGATAGGTGAGAGAGCGTAGTGTTGAAGAGGGCACAGCGATGAGAGTCGCATCAATGCTCAAATCAACGGGCAAGGAAGGGGTCCCATTTCTCGGGTTCTGGGCCGTTTCTCATGGTTTTTCCTTCTTTGTGTACCACTCACCATCGTTAATTTGAAATGGGTTGCCTTTCCAGCGTAAATTCGTCCTTTGTTAGCCCTTTCAGTTGTATGAGGGCAGCAAAACCGCTCTCAGACTTCCACTGAGCTGGAGAGGGTCAAGAATTGTCGAAGTGTCATTTCATGCTAAAATTCAGTCGGGGTCACTATATTATAAATGACCGTGGCCTCCACTGTGCGCTTTACGTTTCTTCTCCTGCCTCATTCTCCTCTCCTCCCTCTATCCAGCTGCCACTGCAGCACCATGTGGAATGACCGGAAGTGTGCTAAGCAGGTGTTTATATAGCCGTTGGAGTGTTATCACAATCATGCCATTGCAAAACATTGATAGCGCAAGCCCTGCGAGCTACCCAGATTTGTTAGCGGCCTTGTTTATTCCATTAGCTGCCTTATCACTCACTTCATTTTGCGGACGGACAGACAGATAACCAACATACAAACAAATCGACACACCAAGTTTGTGGTTTATGCAATGAATAGATTGTCTCAATTATAGAGGATATGATACTGATACTGCGAAGAACTCTGGATACTTTCTGGCCGACATAAGCACCGTATCATAAGAGAATAATATAATAGATCGAATTGTGTCGAATTCTTGTCAGAAGTGGATTCTGATATATGATACAAGGGTGGGACAGGAACACCTTTGGTGGTAAACAGAAAATGTTAACGACTTGATAAGAGCTGATAAGAGGCACTAGAACGTGAATATCACGGTATTCATAGTGCGCGTCCCAGCATCATTGAGACGATAATGAGAAATGGGTATTCCCAGTCCAACATCATTAGCATCAAACATTATTTGACCGCTAAATTATCCTGACATTCGATGCATGGTGGTTGTTTACAGAGATCACTTCAACTCTGCACTTCACTGCGCTTTTCTTGCGGTGAGTATTAGCTAAAATGAGCAGCCTATGTACTGGTCAGCCAAGACGAAGCAAGTTATTGCTCAGCGGTTGAACCTAACCGCTGTTCAGTTTCATCTAAGCCCTCCGTGTCATGCACACGTAAGTTTGCGGAGTTAAACTGTTCAAGTACATGTTATGTAGAAGAAATTGGTCAGTGAAGTGTAAATACTTGTTTGTATGCTATATCCTGATAAATTCTCTGAAAGACGGAGGTCAAGAGGAAGAGAGACACTAATTAAGGAAACGACAGATACGACTCACGACTTGGCAACACTCCCTGATAAAACTGGCTCTTTTTTCGCTAAGACTTCTTTTCATGATAGAAGTCTCACTCGTCTTCCAAACACGGATTATCATTAACGTCCTGAAGACGCGACAACCTGAGAAATTAACCTTGATTTTGATTTTACTTCCCATACCAGACTTGAAAAAATGGTATTATTCTCTCATGATGAGGCGCTTATCTCTGTCGGTCAGCAATCACAATTCTCTACAGTATCATATCCTGCAGATTGCAATAATAGCGAATTTCACCGATCAAAAATGAAATGTAGTGGAGGTATGATTATGCGGAAACGTCAGAGCGAAAATTTTCATAAAAATGAAAATATGTTGCTCTTTCAAATTTTAGCTTTGTAGTGATATTCAGGACCGTGATTATAGTATGCATCACATTTCCACTTTGGAGTTTTCTCCGAGATCATCTTTTAATGTGAGTTAATGAGGGTGAAGTATCATCATACCTTCAGTGTATCATGCAGGAAGACGGCCTCTTGGGCTGAGTTGCGAAAATGGGTCTAACCACTAGGCAGCTGGCAGAAAATATCGATTGCGCCCAATCAGTCCAATCTGGTTCCAAACCATAAACACCTACCGTTTCCAGAAAGTGCCCTTTCGCTCGATTCCTAAACAGCTGACCGATGAAAACACGCTACGAGTTCTCAATCTGCCATTTGCTCAGAACACGACAGTTTCGATTGGAAAACTAATCATTGATAACAGTTACAAGAGGGTCGCCGGTAGCCACTAGAGTGGTTCATCCTTGCTTGCCCAAGCAGAGATTTTCAGAATGAATATTTCTTGTAGATCTCCGCTTGGACATTGTGCTTAAGATTGTGATGCTATCCCGCGATTTGCTTTCTCAAGACCGACCTGAGCTGTCACAAGCAACTACTTAGTATCTTAAATGATCCTAGGAAAAAGGCTGTGATGTGCTTCTATCTACTCTCTTCATGACAACCCCACCATAACGTCCAGCCATTTGGCTGAGACACCATTTGTCACCCAAACTGCTTCACTATCCGAATACACTTGCTCTGTATCCACTTCCACGCGAATATCCTTGCCTTACTTCCTACACTTGCCACGCGGGTTATACTCGGAAGTGAAACAACAGAGTTAAACAAATATTTATGACTCACTTAACTATCCCAATCGACCGAATGAAATACAGTATATATATAAAACCAGAGAATCTTCCGATCAGCTACGAACTGTTGAACTTCTACGCGGTGACTTTAGGGAGCAGAATTCTACGCGACTAAGACAGCACCGATCGTGGCCGCAGCTAGAGACGATCATGAACCCCTATATTTCCATTCCTACGCTTATATACCGCTCTCAGTTGCGGCTCCATATCTTGATCAAGCTCGCCTCCGCCGCTGCGCTTACATTCCCTCGATCGTGGAGCCTAGAAGAAATATTGGTATCGATCAATAGAATGTCTCCTACATTTTGCTAGTGTATATGCTAAGTGAGAGGATAAGCTTAAATGGAAACCGTCACCTCTACGCTTACCGGATTATTCAGGGACGACGTTTGTCGTCACTCCCCCGGCGCCAAGATTTCGGCTGTTCCTCCTTTGGGTACCCATGTCGTCTTCGCTTATTCGGCATACTTGGCCCTTGCTCGTCACGTTCCTGCCGTTTCTTCTGCTTGAGTTCGAGTTCCATCTTCGCCTCTTTGAAGTCTCGACGTGCTCTATTGAGTATCTCTCGCGCCTCTTCTTTCCTATTTGGTATGTTGCAAAGTGCGCTATGATGGCTGTCGAGACCGTCTGACATCTCTTCGAAGGGTGTTCCTCTTACTCGCTCGCAGTAGAAGCATTGTTTATTCGTGTATGGACAAGCCCTTTCCATCGAACACAGTTCTAAGCACATTTTACACAATCCCACTTCGTCTATCATTTCGGTTCTCTCATCTCCATGTACCACGTTTGGGCATGATTCCGAGTAGTGTTCTCCTTTAGCCCAGCAGAACGCGCACCGTTTATCTTTAGGTATTCCTGGTGATAAATATTCTTTCTTCCTGTATGGAAACCGTAGGAATGCTGCATGAATACGATCCATTCTTCGTTCGAGGAGATGACATCGTCTTTCCAACTCTTCCATTTCGCCTTCACTGCTATCGTCGCCTGATTTGGAAATATCCGATGATATCTCTTCTTCACCTCGTTCTTCTACGCGCTGGAGCAGTCGTGGTGGATTTGCAACCTCTTGAGTTCCTTGCTGTCGATGCTGCTGTGAATCGTTAGCTTCCATTTCTTCTACGACAGGCTCTTCTGCTGCAAGGGCAGGTATCTCTTCCGTCTCATTTACCTCACGCGTCATTTGATCAAAGTATTCATCATCAGTTGGTTCGATGTTTCCGAACTTTTGTTGTGATACCGATGCTGCGGCTTGTGCTTGTTGGTCCTTCATACGCGCTATTTCGTTACATTGATCGTCGAGCTGTGACTGCAGTTTGAGGAACTGCTCGTTCATTTTCTGCTTTTCTTCTGAAGTTATGGTTTCAAAAGCCTTTCGAAAGAGTGCATTTATCTGTTCTGCATTAGTTGAGCACGGCCCTGTTCTGAAGTCACTTTCGGCCCGCTGCATCTGTGCTCCGATTTCTGCTTCCAGTTCCGCCAACTGTTTGGTATGGCCATCCATTACGCGAAGTGCCACTTGCATCTCTTTTCCGATTCTATTTCTTCTGTCCGCGTCAGCTAGATTGGCGTAAAATAATTTAGTAAAGACCGACCGTACTCCCAAGCGCGATATTTCTTGTTTCGTGCTTTCTATTTTATGAAGCAGCTTGGAGAGAATAGTGATTTTCGCTGCCGGAGTGGCCAGAAGAAACGTCTCATCCTCACGCGTCCAGTGCCACTGCCGTTTGTGGCTCACGACCACCCGTATTTCTTGGGTGAACTGCTCGGCTATGTTATCCAAATCGCTCTGAACAGCTGTCCATTCATGATGTGGTTCGAGCATCAAACGCGAAAGGTATTCGGCATCGGTCAGGTCGCTGGCGGACATGCTAAAATACGCGAATGTTGAACAGTGCACGTGGTTATCGTGACAGTCACTGTGACATAAATTTTTGCTAAGCTTTTCCACACAGCTATCTCCCCTATTTGAACTACTTGATACTTTTAAAGGGAAAGAGAACTCTTCAAAGTGTTTTCCTATGCTTTTTTCGAACACATCTGAGGACGCGTAGTGGGAGGCAGAGTGCTTGAAATGTAACGCGAAAAAACCACAATAATATTCGAAATGTGGAGCTGGTTATCTTACTTCCGCAGGTGACTATGAAAATATATGTTGCTATCAGCATTAGCGCCAGCACCATCAACGCGGAAACTAAGGTTTTATACCACTGTAGGAATACGTCCATAATGTGGAACAGATCTGGCCATTGGAACCCGTTGGTCTCCGTGGTTTCTCCTTTCAGCCACGATGACATCATCATCTGCGCGGAATGCGTGAATTTGAGCACTCCGCCCAACTTAAACGTAGATTTTACGTTCCCGCATTCTACTGAACAGATCATTCCAATACGCGCTCTAGCAAAGGTGAATCGTACGAGAGAAGTTATTCCTTGCTCAGCACAGGGTACGGTGAAGCTCGAATCCTCGCATGAGACTTCCGCTTGGGTGGGCTCCGAAGATTTGCAGGTTATAGCTGCCTCTGCTCCTTTCGCGCACTTGTAACATCCCGTCAAGGGCGTATTAGAGATGGTACATATGGCGTCGCTCACCATTACCTCCGTTTCAAGTTCATCCCGTATGGTGAGAATAATCTCGGAGGTCGTCCTTGCAGTAATAGCCGCCTGGATCTTCCCTTCTGTATTCCGTCTGAATGACACTGAGGGGGTTATAACTGGGAGTCGATGCTGCAGATTCTCAAACCACGCGTTAATGTCAAGCTTTTTGCATTTGCAATTTGCTTGCGTTTCTGCTGCAAAGCACGAACAGTCTTCCCTCATCTCGCAACTTAAATTCCTAGCTGAGTCCGGTGTGCCACATATCAACGCTGGGGTCAAACGCGAATCCCACAGTGCAGTTCTTTCGTCATCTGCGATGAATGGCGTGTTTAGCGATGGCGTAGGCGGAATAGTAATTGAGCTGAGCGTGAGGCTGAAAGCATTTCTTTTAACGGGGACGTTTGGTGGCATTTTAGTTATCCACCTTAGCCTTTCTTTCCTGGTATGGTCAAAACTCGTTATTTCCACTTTGGCGGCTTCTTTCCACTGTGTACAATGAAAGACTTCATACACGCGATTGGAAGTGGGGACTGCGAATACGCGATAGAAAAGGCAGCCAGACCCCGGCCAGAGACAGTCACATCCTGGTCCGCCACACGACGCAACGCAGTAAGTTGTTCCCGGATAGGAATTCGCCGGTGCCAGTTCTTTAATAAGGCTAGATCCATTAACATCAGCGCACTTGCGTCCTATGCAAGAACCCATGTGAGCGCATCGTTTACTACTGATCACATTGAATTCTGTATCGCGTGTAAAGTAATCCGTTTCTTGGTCGCATAGCAGAATGAGCGATTTCCAGGCAACGCGAACTTCGTACATTGTCGTGGAATTCTTACTCAATCGCAGGCAAGCTTCCGTTTTAAAGGGGTTTATTTTCAGTATCTCCGACACCTGAAATTTACAGATCCTTTTCCCCTTCAAGCTGTTGCAGACAGTCGTGTGGTGAGAAAACACGTCGATTTGTTGGCATCCGTAGCCTGTTGACATCAGGATGGTTAAGGTCGCTACTACTGCCAGCAACTCAACTAAGTCCTTTGCTCTTCTGCGACGCGTACTGGTTAGTTTGCGGCATATTGCTGCTCCCCCGCACTGTAAAGCGCGTCTGAGTCCATTTGCCACTACGCGGACTGGTTTCCCAACAACGAGTGGTACATACAGAAAAACGTAGCAGCCTGTGACAAGGAAGTAGAGGATTACGGCCGTCGCGGCTATGGCTCCTGTCGGCCAGCACTCGGGGTTAAATAATAGCAGGGAGCAGAACATGCAGTCAATGTTATCACAGAAGGGGGATTTAGGGCATACAGTGCCAAAAGTTCTAAGTGATCCATTCTCAAGGAATTTCCATTGAACTTCGTATTCATGTAGTGTTATGCTCGCTGGGAAACGTATCATTTCTAACTTCTTTGGGTCATCAATACGCGTGCAGTACTCTTCAGCACAGATTTCGTATGATCCCTGCTCCAACGATGTGATTTCGACCCCTCCTTGGACACAGCGAATACGTTTTTCGTCAGTTTGGTGGGCTTCATGAGCTGATATGGGATTCAAACCGATAAACATCAAAGCGCAGATCATTCCTATGAGGGAACTAGTGGCGGTCATTCTGGATGCCATGCGCCTATGTCCTTCCGTCTTTCTACGTGGTCGAAAGTTATATCTCTCGTGCCGTCGATCCAAGCTTTGATCTTCTACCGATCTACTTTCTTCTTTTGTTGATCCTATCTCCGATGCCGACGAAGTTGGGATGACTTCCTCTTCTTCTGAAACATTTTCTTCATCATCTAATTCGAGAGGGACCAAGAGGTTAAGCGGTCTTCTAATTTTCCTATGTGAAGGAAGCGATACCACTGCTTCTCGAACTGTGCCTTCTTTATTGGTCCCCAACTCGGTTATGCGTCCTAATTTCCAGGAATGTCTCGGTTGTAGTGCATCCGCGATCAGTACTACTTGACCCTTTTTAGGTGTGATCCGAGAACCTCTTTTATTTCCTACCTCTACCTGGTGCTTTTCGCGCAGCGATGTTAGGTACTGCGTTTGCCATATTTGCCAAAACTTCTCCGTCATTTTGCATGAGCTCTGCAGAGCTTTAATTACCTGTGTTTTAGTCTGCAAGGTCACGCGCTCGGCTGGAGTAAGATACTCTGGATCCTCAAGCGATTCAGTTTCTCCGTCAATTGACGGCGGTACCTCAAACTCATTTTGGAGAAAGTCTATTGGCCTAAGTACGCGGTCACTAACGGAGTCTGCTTCCACATAGGTCAAAGGTCTGGTGTTCAACATGCCTTCTATTTCCACAACTAGCGTGCTCAGCTCCTCCCGTGATGGAGTACTTCTTCCCAATGATTTATTCATTGCTAACTTGACCGACTGTATCAAGCGTTCATACACTCCTCCCTGCCATGGAGCGTAGGGAGTTATGTAAATCCAGTGGATATGTCTCTTGCTTATCTCAGTTGTCACTAGTGGATCGTTTTTCACCCGCTGAAAACATTCTGACAAGATGACATCTCCTAACGCGAATGATGGTGCATTATCGCTAGTTATGGTAAGAGGTACTCCTCTCCTCGCGAAGAATCGTCGCAGCATTTGTAAAAATGCCAACGTAGAGTTGTCTGAGACTATATCTAGGTGAATAAGCCTAGTGACTAAACATGTAATTATGGCACCGTAGCATTTTCCCAAGTTTTCTTCGTTTTTGACGGAGAGGGGGCCAAAATAGTCCAACCCAATGTGCTCGAATGGACGTGATCTGGTCACTCTACGCGTTGGTAAATCTTCCTGCTTCGGGTATTTATACGGTAGATTGTTAAATTTCTGACATTCAATACATCGTCGTATTACCTTGGTCACCTCAGCGCGCAACTTTGGAATCCAGTACTTCTCTCGTACTTTCGCCATGGTATGACTGATGCTGATGTGCAGGTTCTGGTGGCACTCTATAATGATCATCTGCGACAGCCACGTCCTTTGAAGGACAAGCATGGGAAATTTCATGAATTCCGTCAACGCGCTTTTACCCAGTCTTCCTCTACAGCGCAGGATCCCCCACTCATCTTCGAATATATTGAGGTGTCTCAGGGATTTCATGATGGCTGGATTTAGGTGGGATAACTGATGCTGTTTCACCAGTACTAGCGAAGCCGTTGCCATTTCTTTCCCGCTGGGGATGTCGTCTTTTCCTGCCTCAAACTCTTTCAGTATTGGGGAGAGTGTGTTAGGCATTTTGCGCTTCTTGTTACTCCTTAGGAGAAGGTTCCGAATATATCGTAGAACATATACTACCACGCGCTTAGCCTTAGAATGGCTCAAACTTCCGATTTGTTGGAAGATATCGGAGTAATGTGCCGTCATTTGAGTGAACACCTTATCTCCCTGTACTATATCCTCCTCTCCAGATTGTGCATTTTCTTCTTCCTTTTTCCTTAACTCCACTGGTTTATACGCGTCGACCCATTTTTCCTCCGGGGTGGTAAGGAATGCTGGACCTGTCCACCAAAAATGACAGCTTAATTTGGATTTGTCTAGCCCCCTGGTGGCACAATCTGCCGGGTTCTCTTGTGAGGGAATGTGCCCCAGCTGCACGGCGTATCCCTTATTTGTTAAGTGGTCCAGAATCTTACGGATTTCCATTACGCGATTTTGGATAAATGGGCCAGCATCGTGTCGTAGATCCCCTGTTACCCAACTTAGCACGATTTCTGAATCAGTTAAGACTACAATTTTGCTGATGGAGATTACCGACGCGAGTTGGGTAGTTACCGATTTGGTCAGCCTCATTGCCAATGTTAGAGCATTTAGCTCCATTTTTGGGATCGTTGTTTTGGACTTGAGACTTGGTAGCTTTCCTTTTGCCATGACCAGGTTTCCTGAACAAGGTGTGGCAATATAGGTACATGCGGCGAACGCGTCTATGCTAGCGTCTGCACACGTTATCAGTTTAACCACTGTTGCCCTAGCTGCTATAAACCGTGGCAGCATCTTATGGAATCCTCGGATGTTATTCAAGATAGCACTCCATTCTGCTTTCCTTTTCTCTGGGAGTGGTGTGTCCCACTCAAGTTTTTCCTTCCAGAGTGACTGCAAGAATACTTTGGCTTGATGTAATAGCGGTAGAATCCAACCCATTGGATCATATATCGACGCGACTACGCTTGCCACTGTGCGTTTGGTCACTTTCCCGGTTTCCGCTACTGTGCTGGTTATCTGTAAGCAGTCTTCTGATGTCTTCCACTTTATACCTAGTACCTTCGGGTCATCCTGCTTCGACTTATCAGCTTCCTTAAATGTCCGCCTGACTTGCTCGTTGTTGGAAGCAAATTCCCTCAAATTCATGTGCAGTTCGTCAAAAATTTCTTTTGTTCTCTCATACACGCGATTCGCTTCCCCTACCGAGTCTGCTGTGAGGAGAAGGTTATCAACGTAAAGGTTTTGTTTGATTTCCTCTACCAGATCAACCTCATCTGATACTGATCTAGGTGATAGTGCGTTGTTGCTGCTAACAGAAACGGTGAGGATAGCAGTCCAAACGTTACGCGCGTGAACCTATAGACTTGTAGATTATTCGCACTCGGAGGACTTCTATGGTCCCGCAACCACAGACAGCGGGTGGCGTCCCTGTCGATTTCATGCAACCGCACTTGTAGAAACGCTTTTTCTACGTCCGCAATCAAAGCAACGCGTCCGACGCGAAATCGAAGGAGAAGACCGTACAGATTGGGCAGAATAACAGGCCCCCTATGCAGGGCATCATTTAAGGATGGGGAGTCCTTGAAATGAGCCGATGCATCGAAAACAACGCGAAGTTTGGTTGTCGCCTTTTGAGGGGTCAGGACCGCCTGGTGCGGTAGATAATGAATCCTCCCGTCCACCGGAGCCCTTTCGTCTACCACCTCTTCTATTATCTCTAAACGTTCTTGTTCCTGGAAAATGTCATTATATTTTTCTAGGAGCTCTTCATTCTTCTGGAGAGAGTTCCATACGCTTATAAGTCGTCTCCACGCGATTGCCCGATTGTCCGGTAGCGGTGAGGGGATTTCTTTCCATGGGAGACGAACATAGTACCCATCGTCTCTTTTTTCAATGGTCTCTCTAAAATATTTCAACACCGCTTCATCTACAAGGGACTGTACCTCTTTTTCGGACGAGGTGAATTCTTCAACTCCCTCTTGCTCAAGTGTCCAATACTTTTCCCAAAGCGTTTTTTCATCTTGAGCTTCGTTGGAGCTCTCCATCGATAGAGTGTGGACTTCTGCATCGAGGGACCAGCATTTGTCCCATTCATTTATCCCCTCGTCCTTCGTAAGCACCTGTGTTACCTGACGCGCGTTTCTCATTTGCCCTGTCAACAAATGTCCGATACGCGTGGGTAGTAGGTGCAGACCCGAGGGCAGACGCACGTGGGTCTGATCCTGCCGGATTAGCGACCAAATCTGATCGCATCCCAAGAGCACCTGGGGTTTGGCCACCTTTAGGCTATTAGCTCGATTGACGGGAATGCGTAGCGAATGCAGAAACCGAAGATCTTCTTCTACTAGTGGTGGGGTCTTCAAGGAACTTGTTAGGACCTCATGGGTTAGCAACTCTAACGTATGTGGATCTCCATTATCGTCCCATATCTCCATTGATACCTTCCTACTCAAAAATTCCTTTATACTGTTTGACCCGAAAGTCCTTACGCGAAGCGTTGTAGTGCCTAATATTGGTAAGTTCAGCTCTTCTGCTAATTTACTGTCGATAAAGGAGCATTCGGCCCCAGAATCCATCAGTACAGCTATTTTCCTCAACTTACGCGACGCGTTATCCATTATGGTTAGCTCTCCAATGGGTAGGAAAGTATCCTTTCTTTCCACATTCTCTTCAAAGCGGTTCAGTTGAGTTACGCTCGATTCCTGTCCTTTGATGTGCCCCCTATCCAATTTTTTAGTTCGGCTGGGTTGGTGAGTAGATGCCGAGGAAGTTTGCTTAGGGGGAACAACCTCTTTCTCCTTCACCTTATTCGACGCGGACACCTTATTCTGCATAGAGGTAGTTGACCTCGCATCTGGACTAGATTTAAAGCAGCATGAAGTGTGATGTCTCCCTTGGCATACAAAACATACGCGCTTCTTGCATGTGGAAGTCGCATGCTGAGAGGATGCACAAATAAAACACAACTTGTGTTCCCGTAGATAGTTCGCTCGTTGCTGCGGTGTCCCATATTTTGTGCATGACGCGGCCTTGTGTTCTCCGCCACAGTACATGCATGTGAGATCTACGCGCTGCCTCCCCTCCTTGGGGAACCGGTCCTTTTTCATAGACCCTGTGTCATACCCTACCACTCTAGAAGTATGAAGCGCGATTTTTTCCTCCGTGGAAATGATCTGATCCAACCATTCTAGAAGATCGTCCATGTGCAAGGTTCCCTCCCTGGAATACCTCTTTTCCAGAACTCTTCGTTGGATCCGCTCGGGGAATTTTGCCAGTACTTGTTTTATGAGCCACTGACTGTTGACTTGCTCGCCCTTTTCTTTTAATTGGGACACGATGGCTTGTAACTGCTCCAAAAGTTCGCGTTGGTCCTTAAGCGCTGATGATCGCGAGCCGACATTTTCCAAACGTACTAT